TGTAAGCTTTCGCTAAAATTTTACGGTATAAAAAATAGTCTAATATAAAAATTAACTTAAAAAGGTGATTAATTTCTGAGTGGCATACATATTTTGAATGTACAGTTATTACACCCTCTACAAAAGGGTTGTATGCCTAAGCAAATTAAAGTATTTCAATTTCAGGGTCAAGATCCTGCGATTAGTTGATTTATGGGAGACAACTACGGACTTATAATCTTTAAAACGGAAAATGATTTCACATATATTAAACTGTCACAAAAATCAAAATTTAACGAAACGTAAAATAAAATTTGTTTTTAATTACAATGTTAACCAAAAGAAGCAAACCGAAACGATTCGAAAAAGCAATATATTTATTTTTTATTTGCATCTTGTTTTTAGCTATGAAGGCATAAAACATTTAAAGAATTTTTTTAAATATTTAAGTCCGATTTAATTTACCATTCGACATTAAAATTACTCACCATGTTAACCCATGACAAATACTACTTTGCTAAGTTTCTTCTAATCTAACGATATCTTTTACTTTGCAGGTGCTTTAAGGGGCAATTTTGCTCGTATCTACCAAACTCCCGGATCCTGCGACCTCAGATTCTGTCCGGAATGCCCCTGAACGATGTGGTCTCCTCCGGCATTGGAGTTTATCCGGAAAATGGCACCAAGCACAAGCCGCAGGGTATGGCGAAGCCACCGGACTCTTCAGCCGGCTCCAATTCCAATTCCGGTTCGGGTTCGGGATCGGGATCGGGACTCTCGCTATACGCCTTGCAGAACCAAAAGTGGCAGCAGGTCTTCGACTTGGACAAGGTCATCAAGCAGCTGCGTACGGCTGAGAAAACCTACCTGCGGGGCGGAAAGATCTCCTCCTCGTCCGCCGCCGCCGCCGCCGCCGCTGGAGGAGATCAGCAGGCGAAGGTGCAGGTGCAGCGTCTCCAGTCGGCGGACATGGCCTACTACGATCTGGTGCCGAAGTTGGCCAGCCGGGACATAGTACTCTGTAGTTCCTGCTCGGGATGTTACACGAAGGCAGGCTTCCAGCATCACATTGCACTGCAGCATCCGAGCGTTTGGGAGGCCACCTCCAGCAAGGTCAATCCCAATCCCAATGGGACAGCAAACAGCGCCAGCGACTCGCGTCTCACTGCCACGGAAAACAGCCAGGAGGGCGGCGGAAGCGGCGGCGGCGGCGGCGGTGGGGGCGGGGCCATAGTGCCCAGTTCGCCAACGGACACGCTCTCTGCTTCAACGCTCTCCAGCTGCTCGAACGGCTCCAGCAGCTCGGCCTCACTGCAGCATCCGGGTGGGGCGGGATCCTCCACGACCACCACGTCGTCCTCCTCGTCGTCATCGCGTCACAAGAGCAGCAGCAGCAAGAGCAGCAGTTCCTCCTCATCCAAGGGCAGCAGCAGCACTTCCGCCGGCAGTCGTTCGCGTTCCAAGTCGTCCAAGAACCGCCACCACTCCTCGCCAGCTCCGGCGCCAGCGTTGGACTCCAGTCACAAGGACTCCAAGGGATCCAAAAAGAGCGGCTCGGCCATAGCGGCTCCTCCCTTGGTTGCTCCTCTTGTCAAAGAGGAGCCTCCTGCCGTGGCATCTTCTGTCCCGGCTGCCATCACCGTGTTCTCCTCCTCCAGCAACTCGTCCTGCAGCCTACCGCCCACTCCCACACTGGGAGCAGCCTCCAGCGAGGTGGTGGCGGCACTGGGGGTCAACTACTCACCTGCCCAGCTCCAAGCGGAGGCGGATAAGCTGCCCGAGCTGCAGCCAAAGAAAAAGGTATTTGGAATGTCCTCAAAACTTTAACCGTTTACTAATACTTTGCGTTTTTTAGCTGAAGGGCTCCAGCGATCATCGAACAAAAGCGGAAAAGGACAAGAGCAAAGAGAAGGTCCTGGTGAATCCCTACGAGCAGCAGCAGCAGCAGCAGCAAGTGCTCAGCGAGCTGGACCAGGCGGTGTCCTCCATCACGGGAGCGGTTACCTCCGAACAGGTGGCCACCGAAGAGGAGGAACTGCCAATGCCGAACACCTCCGATGAGAACTCCATTTCCCAGACACTTGACGAAATGCTGGACAGCAAGCTGATCAACGAGATACTCAATAACTTTGATGAGAGCGCCCTGGACACAACGCAACAGCAGCAGCAGCAGCTACAGCAGCAGTTACAGCAGCAGAATGGAGCAGCTCTTTCGCATCCCGCACAGGCCTCAAAAAGACTGCGCTACGAGGACGGAAGCGCCATTGGCGAGGATTACACCGTCTATCAGCAGCAGTCGGCGGGTCAACAGGTCTATGGCGAGGTGGAGCATCAGCAGGAGCTGACCACCATCGATGCCATTCAGCTGCAGCAGCTCATCTACCAGCAGCAGCAGATGCTCGATCAGCAGCAACAGCAGGAGCAGCAGGAGCAGCACCAGCAGCAGCAGCAGCAGCAAATGGATCAGAAGCTGCAGCTCGATCTCGATCAGCAGCGTCAGTTTAGCGTTTACAATGTGCCATCGCTGACGGACGAGGCGATGGCCCATCCGCAGCAGCAGCAGCAGCAGCAGCTGGAGGAGCACATGATCCTGCCCAACATTATATACGAGATCACCGAATCGAATCCCGTTTCCATGCTGGAGCAGCAAAAGGTATTGGCCGAATTCCTAACCCAGGCGGGCTACGAAAACGTGGACGTGAATGTCGTGCAATCGGGCATGCATTCCGGTTTGAGTTCTGCAATGGTGGACCCTATTACGACCACCACCACGACCACCACCACCAGCACCAACCACTTGGCGGATGAGCTGGGCGACTTTGAGTTCAGTAAACTGGAGACTGTTAGCGACACCGTTAAGACTGTTAAGCTGGAGGCCGCCAAGGCCGCCAGCCAGCCACCCACAACAAATCCTCCTCAAATCAACCATCATCCATCGCTGGCCAATGCCAAATACCACGAGGACAGCTTCTTCAATGTGATGCTGTACGCGGGATCGCCCCGTCCGCTGGCCATGAACACATTTGGCATGGTCAAGATGCCCCACGGCTTGGGTGTGACCTTCCGCAAGAATCTGCTGACCATGCGGAAGGCCAACAACAGCCTGTTGTCCCTCACCGGTGGCAGTCATCATCTGGGCGTGGTTGGACAGCTGGCCCGCCCACCGCCGCCGCCCTCGCCAGCGTTGAGTAACGGTCTGCCGGGCAAGAATCCGGCCTCGGGCCGAACCATCTATGCTCAGAGATCGAATGTCATAGCACAGGATCGCTTAAGGTGCAATAAGAGGGCGCTGGTCAGTGGCAAAGTGGGAGGAGCAGGAGCAGGAGCAGGAGCAGCAGGATCATTTGGTGTAATGACAGCCAAGCGGTTAAACGAACTGCTGATGGGCAAGGTCAAAAAGGAGGAGAAGCCACCACCGGCGGAGGGGGAAACCGATTCCGAACAGCCGCTGAAGGAAAAGGAGCGCGAGAAGGTGGACAACAAGCTGACCTCCAGTTTCTACGAGAAACGGCGCCGTCTGCTGGCCGGCAAGCAGCAGGAGCAACTGCAGCTGCAGCATATCGGACGAGCCAGCTTCACCCTGCCGCTCCAGAGCAACCACAATGCCAGCCAAAGTCAAACGCAGAGCCACTCGCCGCAGCAGCTGCTCAAGAAGCAACTGCTGCTGCGCACTCTGTCCGACAGCAGCAGCAACCTCAACATCAGCAACATGAACAGCATCAGCAACATCAGCAACATCAGCAACATGAGCAACATTAGCAACACTCCCAGCGCCAATAGCAATCCTCCCTGGAAGGGGAACAATTCCAATCCGGGGGGCAACTCCACTCCAACCAGCAGCGACTTGATGCGCGTCTTTGTCTGATCTAATCTGATATAATCTGATCAGATTCCGATTCCGATCTGATCTGAAATTCAGATTGCGCATACGACGCGTGTCCCTAGTTATATATGTTTATACAATATACGATCGATTATGTGCAGCAGCCTCTTAAAAATGCTAAATTAATTTTTTAATAATTTTTTTAAATCAATTCTTCATTTTTTAAAAGTGATAATTAGTTATCGATTAGTTGATTGTATGTAGTTCTCTGTTTAGTCTATGCCCTAAGTTAATTTAATAAATATACACATATATTTTCTCGTGGCTAAGCATAACGCTAAGTACTCGTAAAGCATTATTTATAAACGCTGTAAACTTTTAAAAAATACAAGAGCATGCCTAAGTTCAATTCAATTTTAAATCGAGCGTTGGTTTATCAAACAAAAATAACTGATGGGTTTAAATTTGATGGCTGGTAGGGATGCATTTGATTAAATGATCTCATTATTTTATTATTATTTTGGATAAGTATTATTTAAGTACGGAGTTCTTTTTTATTACAAAGTCTATTTCGAGTAAGTGAGAAAGATAAATCCAAAATAGCAGCTGCCTTTAAATTTTAAAATTCTTTTTAAATCGAATTGTTAAGACTTAATATGCATAATATGTTCTCATGGATAATGTGTCTCCAAATATTACAATTATTTAAACATTTTCTTTAGATTATTAAAAACAGGCGTTTTCTACAAATCCCTCGGATTAAAATTTCCTAGTTTTAAAATTTCGTTAAAAAAACTTTTGAAAATTAACGAACACAATGATTTGAGAAAAAATAAAGGTCTTACGAAGTTATCCACCTTTGAACTCAAACTATCCGCTTCGTTTTAATAAGTCTTAGATACTTCCATTATAATTTGTTATTTCGATAGGAAACGATCTGATGAAATGGACTTTGAAGCTATTGCAAAACATTTATTGACAAATACATTAAATTAAATATGTTTTTTTTTCCAAAAACGTACTGTCAATATAAAACGCTTTTTTTTGACTGTTTGTGATTTATACATAATTTAATATGAATTATTTATTTTAAAGTTTCAACTTTGCTAAAGCAACTCCAGGGAACCTATTTAGGTGACTACGAGTGTATTGATGTGGCTTAATCTCAATTCAACGGGCGAACGGTCACACTGGTTACGACAGGTTTTCCGCGTTCTTCGGCGAACAATTAACATGGACAATTAACATTAGCCCGCTCATAATCATCTTTTAGCCGCTTAAGGCCAGGTGAGATCATCATCATCGCTGGCCGAGAAAATGCACCTGAAGATGCTGCCGTGAAAGCGTTGGGAAAATCGCTGGGAAATTGCATGCAACGAAGTACTTAACTTGGAACACCAACTTACTCAACTCAAGATGCCAATCCTGCCAATACTCATGTGGATGCTGCACCTGTCCTGGGGCCAAGCTCACCAGGTGGAGGATGGCAAGCACCTGGATGGGTTTTCCCTGCCCAGCCTTCCCTCGGAGCACCTCATCCGGTTTCTGAACACCTTTCCCAAGCTGAAACATCAAATGCCCACGAATCTCACTGGTAAGAGCAGCATTTCATCCGCCTGCTGGGGTCACGAACGGAATTGCACGCCGGATGGCCGCTTCCAGACGCCCCAGTGCCCCGGGGAGCACACTGGCTGGGCCAGGAGCAAGGAGGCCCAGGTGAGGACCTTCTACAATCAGGCGGACTTCGGCTACATCCAGGAGCAGCTCTCCCAGTTGGCCCCTCAGTGTGTGCCCACATACCTGGGCGATTCCTCGCTGGAGTGCACCCACTACCTACGCTTCTGTCGGGGTCGCAATCTCCTCTTCGATTTCCGGGATCTAACGCAGAGGGAGGAGCGCATACGCTATCACATGGATGTCCTGAAGCCAGGACAACTCCTCGGCCACTGTGAACTGAATCGCACGCGACTGGCCGGGGAAATGGATCACATCGGTTCGGCCCTGCAATCCTGGGGTCCTGAGCTGCGGAACTTTGAGGTCTTGCCACATCCCATTTTGGAGAGCGGACTCTGCGATCTGGTGGTGAATACGCCCACTTTCATCATGAAAATCGATGCCACGTACAATATGTATCATCACTTTTGCGACTTCTTCAATCTGTACGGCTCGCTCTTTGTCAACCAATCGCATCCGGCTGCCTTCAATACGGATGTGCAGATCCTTATTTGGGAAACGTATCCGTATGACTCGCCATTTAGAGACACCTTCAAGGCCTTCTCGCAGAGATCGGTCTGGACACTCAGCGATGTGGAGGGCAAAAGGGTGTGCTTCAAGAACGTGGTACTTCCCTTGCTGCCCAGGATGATCTTTGGCTTGTTCTACAACACACCCATAGTAGGTGCTAGAAAAAGGGTATCAATTTATGTATAATAATTGTTATTTTCCCTCAGATCCAGGGCTGCTCGAATAGTGGACTGTTTCGTGCCTTCTCGGAGTTCATCCTGCATCGCCTGCAGATTCCCTACAAGCCACCGCAGCGGAGAATACGAATAACCTACCTATCGCGGCGCACAAAGTACCGGCAAGTGCTGAACGAGGAGGAGCTCCTGGCCCCACTGGAGGCCAATGAAGAGTACTCTGTGCAGCGCGTATCCTACGAGAGGTAGGCCACGATGCAGTCTGTAATTAAACTCTATGTAAATATGTTTCCCTTTGGCAGACTTCCCTTCACCGATCAGTTGGCCATCACCCGGAATACGGACATACTCATCGGCATGCATGGCGCCGGCTTGACGCATCTGCTCTTCCTGCCCAACTGGGCCTGCATCTTCGAGTTGTACAACTGCGAGGATCCCAATTGCTACAAGGATCTGGCTCGCTTGCGTGGCGTTCGCTATCGCACTTGGGAGCAGCGGGAGTTGGTCTATCCGCAGGATGCAGGACATCATCCCGAGGGCGGGGCGCATGCCAAGTTCACCAACTATAGCTTCGATGTCGAGGAGTTTGTGCATCTAGTGGAGCAGGCAGCCAAGGAAATACGTGCCCACAAAGAATTCCCTCAGGAACAATCAGAGAATCCCTCCAAAACGCAGCACAGCGAGCTGTAGATTGACACAATTGTGATTAAATGCATTTATTTTGCTTATTTGCCAGACCCAAAATAAATCGGTATTACTTAAATCTTTCTTTATGAAATTTAAACAAAATTGTTAGTCATATATTTACAAAAGGAAACCTAATGATTGAACGTTTGAATTAAATGTGACCTAATTTTTGAGCATCTCGACTGCTCACTGTCAAAAGCTGGCAGCTGCGCATGAGTAAATGTTATCGATAAAGTGCCATGACTTCCTGAAACTGCTCAGTGTCAAAAGATGGCTGCTGTGCATTGAGTAAATGTTATCGATTAAGTGTCATCACCGTCTGAAATGTCATTGTTTACATTTTTTTGCATTTTCCATTGCCGGCTTACATCTTTCTTTGTAATTCCTAATTTAAACATAATTTAAACGGCCATGCAGGCCGAAATGAGCGACTATGTGACCTATAGATCAGACGAACTGGATTTGCTTTCGTGGCGATCGGTGAAGGAAAGTTTGGATAGCTTTTTGGTGACAATACCGACGGTCTTGGGATTCGTCCTTTGCCGCCTCTTTTGTGGACACCTCCCGCCGAAATGCTGGCGGAGATTCCTGCTGGAGTTCCTCTTGATTGGATTGCCCACCGTGATTTTAGTGACCGTGGGCAGTGCCCACAACTACACCTACTCCATGCTGGTTTCCATAGCCATTGTGGGCTATATTCACGGAAATGTGGCTCCCAATCCAATGAATCACAAATATGAGATCGGAAAACGACCCATAGTCTTCACCCTGCTGAGGGCCACCGCCTACAGTGGAACCTGCGCCGCCATCCTGGCCGTGGACTTCCCATCCTATCCCACTGTCTACCGCAAGAGCCGGACTTTCGGAGCCTCCGCCATGGACATGGGCATCGGTCTGTTTGTGGTGACCATGGGATTGGTCTCACATCGAACCAGGAACACCGCTGACCTGAGGAAACTGCCCAGATCCGTGGTGCCACTGCTAGTTTTGGGCCTGGCACGCACCATCGTCATCACGTCGATCGACTATCACCAGGATGAGTCCGAATATGGCAAGCACTTAAACGCCTTCTTCATTCTGGGCCTCACCAAACTGATGGGCAGCCTGTACAGTGCGCTAGTGCACTCGGATGACCAGCTCCTCGCACTTTCACTTGGTAAGTATGTAATTTGAGATAATTTGTATATTAGTATTGGTTTTGCAAGAAATATATATTTCTGGCAACTAGCAAACAAGCATTTTCTGTTTAAAAACGCTATCTGTTTACTCTTACTTGGAAATTATAATATATATATATATATGTATATATATTCTTTTCACTACATTTTGTTTTGAAATTTCCGAAATGATCTGTTTTTATGTGGAGGCAGATTAGAGCAAAAAATATTTCAAATTTCGGGCTATTAAAAAAAGCAATGGTTTTTAACTTGAATTTTTAAGAATAAATCATAAAATTGGCTGAAGTTGTTTAAATTCTGCTTTGCCTTTCAGGTCTACTTTTCCTTCACGAACTGCTGCTCCAATCCGGTCTGGGTGAGTTTGTGATGTCGTCTTCGCCCCACGACGGATTTTTGAGTGCCAATCGGGAAGGTTTGAGTTCCCTACACGGATGCGTGGCCCTGTACCTGCTCAGCATTTACTTTGCCAGGTGGTACACCTCCCAAGATCACCTCAGTTACCAACAGCTTACCATTAAGTTAAAGAAAATGCTTTTGGCAGCTATCCTCTGCTGGATATTGGTTTTTATTAGCGCATATCTAACAGGCATTGCTCGTGTTACCTTTAATTTTGGCTATGTAACTTGGATTTCCGCTGTCTGCCTGAGCTTAGTTCTGATATATGCCTATTTCTTTGAACTAAAACTAGTAAACTCCGAACAAAATAATAGGAAATCGGCAGGAGATAGTGAGCAAAGGGGTCAATCTTTGCCCTCGTTTGTGGAGAGCCTCAACATGAATGGACTGACTCACTTCATGCTCTCGAACTTTCTCACGGGAATGGTCAACATGACTTTGAACCCGGGCAACCGAGGAAATCTGGAATCGGTTGTTATACTATGTATATATGTGTTTGTTTGTGCTGGAGTCGTTTTTGTTATGATGAGAAAGGGTATACGTATAGCTTAAAGTATATGTATTGCCTAACTAAAAAATGTGTGTGATAAATGTTTGTATTTAAATAGAAGTAAAGATTAAAGTTTTTTAATTTAATTTTAATTTTTTTTTGTAATATAAATTACATGACAACACAATTCGAAAAGTATACAAAGTGCATACAATTAATACAAACACTACCGCTTCAAGGATTACAAGTCGATTCAAAGGGCATTATGTAACCATTTGGCATGACCAGGAAGAGAATGATGGGTGCCTCCGATCCGATCCCAGAGGGCGATTTTTCCGCATCCGAGTCCTTGTAGACCTCGTACACCATGCAGCCATTGTTGGCAGGAATCAAACGAGTCCACAACCACTTCTGTTCCTTGCGTTTCGGCGATTCCTGGCATGTAAGCTTGGTTTTCAGATGCTGACAGGCCAACGAGGTCTCGGAAATTGATCGTTTGAAATGCTCCTCGACCGTGTCACTGCCCGCCTTCTTTCGCATCGGGATATCCTCGGCAGGATGATCGAAATCCACCCTGGGAGTACGTTGTCGGGGGCAACAGGTTGTGGCACTTAGACGACTCGAGGACTTGATGCAGGATGATTTGCCGCTGCAGGGCACTGGGGAAAACTTTTGCCTGCAGGTGCTCGGTGCTTTGGTGCAACAACTACTCGACGGCTTGGAGCAGCAGGTCCTCCAGGCCGAGGACGAAGAACAAGTGCTGATGGCGCTCGTGGTGCAGGTAAGTGGTGGCGTACAGGATTTTGTCTTCTCAGCTGAACCTTTAAAGCATTTTTTTATTAACAACTCTAAAAATCTGCTTGTAGACGATGCATCGGTAAACAGTTTCTTAGTACTCAACCAGCCATGGCCGCTGCATCGTCTACAAACAATGTAGAAATGCGGGCTTGAGCTGGTTGTAGACGATGCTGCGGCAACCAGTTTCTTAGTACTCAATCAGACGTTGCCGCTGCATCGGCTACAACCAGCTTAGCCCCATTTAAACTGACTCGATCCCGCTAGATTCAGCATGGGAATTATTTTCGTAGCACCCGACAGGTAGAGGATGCGATCCAGCATTGTCATGATAACCTCATCCGGGTACGGACCCAGCGTATCGAAGAAGGGTGTCTGTGGTGTCTTCTCCAATCTTAAACCAGGTGCACACTCACAACAGCCCGGCTTCTGGGTTCCACAGCCGCAGCAACTCATAGTTATTCGTCTTTAAATGTTGCTAAAAAAAAAAACACCCAATTTTTCCAAAAGTTTTTCCCAAAAATCCGGACCGGATGTGAGTGTTCTGTGAACGTTCAGCATGGAGTTGCTTTGTCAGGAGCCAAGGGCAGATGTCAAAGGTGCGATATCCGGCTTAGGCGCACGACGGCGAAGGCGTCACAAAAGATAAGATTTCTATTAAGGAAATGACTGGAATTACTGGCATTGTCCCTGGGCAGCGAAGATGGGCAGAATCGCAGTCAGAGGTCGAGCGACTGGGTGAGGATATTTAATTTAACGGCCCAAACAAAGACCAAATCAAAGATGGGCATTGGGGGGAGGCTAAGCTCACCATAAGTCAGGGTTAAAGGAGCGCAAATGACCAGCAATGAGCTTCTTATTAGACGGGGAAAGTGTATCAAAGTTTTTATTTAACTATGGATAAAATGTAAGTATAGTAAATATTTCTAGAAAAAATCTGTTTTAATTTTCAATTTTGAATAAGATATTTATTATTGAACACAATGCTTTGAGAAATTTAAAAAGTCCTAAAATTTTTTATATTACCTTACACAATTAAAAATAAAGAGCAGCAGCAATTCGCAATGGTAAAAATATATTTCTCTTGATTTTTTCCGTTCGCCTTGAATGTAATTACGGCAACAGTTTCCGCTGCTGATGCGTAGCCTCTGTTCGTCAGGCGACTTTGATGCGCTTTTAATGTCATATCCTGGCCAAGGACGAGGACGAAGTCCGTGGAACTTATCTGATTTGGCCAGCACAAATGCAATTTCCGTCCGGTAACCTTTCAACCCTTGCTCCCCTTTTCCCGCAATTTATGTTGAGTTAATGGCTGGGAACCAAATGTGTAATCATATAGTATTTCAGTGGGCGTGTCCAGAAAAACAGCAACAGGATTCGAAAAGTGGGTGGGGAAAAAGAGAGTCACCTGTTCCCACTGGGGGTGGCTTTTTGGCTTTGATGACAGATTATTTTCATTAGCAAAATCAGCGAATTGTTGTCCATTTTGGGAGGAGGAAAATTATGAGCGGTAATTATTATTTTCATGTTTTCCCCTGCTCGTAAAAATGTAAAACATGACAGAGCCATGCTTTCCCTGATTGATGTGGCCAACAATCAGGTTGAGAATTGGTTTTCCTGCTACTAGCATTTTTTTTCAGCTGCCAATTTGCTGACGAGATCCCTTTTCCTACTGCTCGTCAAATCGGATTGCATTCAAAAAGGGGCTTTCATAAAAAAAATAGAAAAATAAAAACCCAAATATATCTGTGCATATGCATGAGTGTCTCGATGTGTGTCTGCGTGAAAGTCTAAGCTCCTGGGCCCTGGGGAAATCGCTTAAGCTGTTCATAATGAATATCATGTGTATATATATGCCTGTGTGTGGCTGTGTGGTGACTAAGCCTCAGAACATTCAGGCAAATGCCAGTGGAAATTCGGAAAACAGAAACCATAGCACAGTTCTAAGGGCACCTATTAAGAAGAGAATTATCGTTCTCTTCAGTAAAACAAGAATGTTAAATAAGCCTGCGCCTTAATTTATTTCAATTTTCAAAAATAAGTAGATGCTGAAAAATCTAATTACATATGTCTATACAAAATGAGCTATTTAATTATGACGTTCATTTCTACCATATTTCCATTGGAGATATTAAGTCTTTATTTATTCTAGAGTTAAGACTTAATGAAACATATAAACATTATAAATATGCCTAATTAAAATGATCTATTAAATTATGATTAACACTTCTAACATGCAACAAATTCATAAAATATGTATATTAAACTAAATAGTTTATAGGAGGATGAATCAAAAGTTCCCTTAGCAGTAAGCAGAATCCAATATCTGTATACTATATAATTGATTTGTCCCCTGCCAATCGTTTTCATACAATTGCAAACATTTCCATAGAACTTTGCAGAGTTCCACATCAAATGCTGATTCGTTACGGCTTCCTCAAGCGTTTTTCGTCCTTGAATCCCGAGCCACAGCCCCCTTTTCACAGAATTACCACAAGAGTTCATGACTTGGGCGGTGGGAAACAGACTCCATAACAACTCCCGACTTCAAGGCAAACAAAATGCTTATCGAACAACAGTTTTTATCGGAGCTTATGCGTCATGGCAGCGGCAAAGGAAGCCCCACTCTCCCAGCACATTGTGCAGATTTTTCGAAATGCTTTTAGTGAGCGAAATTGCACAATTGTGGAGCAATCAATATGAGAAGCCAAAAAAAGTGTTGAACCGAACCAAATGGAGAACCGAACACAGCACGAAATATAAGCGATTTATTGAACTGTTATTATCAAAATAACTACATTTTCAGAAAGAATTGGCTTGGAAAAGAGTTTTTATAAAGGTTTTTGAATAGAAAATAATATTGTTAAAATAACTTGTTTAAAAAATAAAAATAATTATAATTTTTTTTTCTAATTCCCATAAATGAAAGTTTGTGTACATCAGTTTTGTCTACTAGTTTCTTTATCTAATTGATTGATTCCCACTTATCTCAGTATAAATTCAATTTAATTTATATTACTCCTTTTTATGATATTTTATATTTGTTTGTTTTTTTCAGTGCGTAACTCAGCCGTAGATGAACAGACAATCGGTTGCCATGCTGACGTTTTCGGTCTGTTCTCTGGGTCCCATCAAAATTGCGTTGCTGTTAAATCGTGCGGAAGCTGATATGATTATGGCCTTCCAAAGTGCACTTGGCTCTTCCGTGGAAACCCATTGCCTAGTTGCATTCCCAACAATTGCAGCAATTAGCGAATATTTTTAATAGTACCCGTACTCTCCCCTCCCAAAAACACTCTTTTTGGGCCAATCGCATTAAGTGATTCCGGGTTCTAAGTATTCTACTTAGTGCCCATGGCTATAAGTCCCAGACATTAAGAAGATTAATTCGCAAAGTCGCTTGTTGTTATTTTTTTTCACTCGGCAAATCTCAGATAACGTTATGCATCATTGTGTCAAAGATTTGACAAATCTTTGCGAGGGCAAAAAAAAAAAAAGAAAATAAGAAACTGTAACAATTTCACATTTCTCAAGCCGAAATGCGAAACCTCGGTTTAGGTTTCCCCCCATCGATTCGGCACTCTCTAAAAGCAATCATTAAATAAGAAAAGTTTGCTCGGTGAAGTTGCCCCCGTTTTAGAGGAAAACAAATGTAAGGAGTTTGATAAACTCACACAAAAACCGAAAACATTGCGAAAAAAAATCGCAATAAAAAGCCGAGACAGGACATTGCCCCAGCTCAGTTCGCATTTAATAAAGCCTGCTCACAAATGGAATGACTTGCCTCAGTTCTCCCTTTTTTTTGCCTCCTTTTTTTTGCCACACAGCAAAGTCAGCAGCGTAACCGCAACACGTTAACGGTTTCGGTTTCACTTTGTGATTTACAACAACAGAAATCGGGGGAATAGGACTAGGGTTCTATATCTCAACCCCTCATCAACGTCTGTTTTTTTTTCCATTTTTTTTTTGTCCTGCGCCTGGCGCGCTCATGTGTGAAAAGGTACTTTGGGAGTTCCCTCAGACGGCAATTGTTTTCGCCAGCATCTCTACTGGCGGAAGAAAACGCATCTGAAAGATAGAAATACCCTTCTGATTTTTCACAGACATGAGTGTGTACCAGTATACAAATTACCTTCCCCAGGGATACGATTGATTTTAGCCGATTATTTTGATATCTCATTTTGATTTGATGGCTAGCTTTGATTTAGCAAAGCAATTTTTCAAATTCCATTAGGTAGAGCTAAGCAGCAGAACTTTTATTTTAAAATTTAATACTACTCTACGGTCAAGGATTCAAATTTTACCAAGCATAAAAAAATGTTAGGTAAAGCTTTCTATATTCTATATATCTCTTTATACATAAGAATCATAAGAAGAAAATGAAACCATTTATATGTTTACTAATCTATTTTTTTTGCATTTCCAGATGAAGTCTAATAAAGTCAAACTTGTCTTGCGAACATAATCCTTTTAAAGGTTTTAAAAATACAACAATAATAAAATGTTGCCTTTTTTTTTTGTCAAAAATATGTACTGCATTAATGAATTATTTCAATGCATATTCGTGACTTCGTGAGCGCATCAAAGAATATCCTGTGAAATTAAAATTCAAAATCAGTAGGTGGCCATTTCCAAGTCATTAAATTCATTTAGAGCCTGAATGGCAATGTTAAGAGAACGAAACTTTTCCACGTGCCGCACATAGATAAAATATAGATATAGATAGCAACAAGGGCGGTGGCGTTGTCCCAACAACCTGGAAAGGACATCACCCACCATCCGATATCCACCCACCTTTAACCTTCCACCCACCCAAAACTCATGGCATTCTTCGAGTGCTATCGGGCGGACAGCATCATGCATATATTAAGCGTAAATTGCCTTGGCATTCATTCCGAAGAGCTAATAGAAATGTCTGCTAGTTAATTTAGCGTCATGAAGTTGCCTGAAATTTTTTTGGTAGTCGGTTGCTCGGGAGACAAACAAACTTTGAAGTGGTCAGGCTAGAAAGGGGAGGAATCTTGTTGAAATCCTCTATGTGATGTTCACAAACAATGTTCTGATTTATTAGATATTGAAAAAACAACCTTAAAAATACAGAATTTTTGAGCCATATATATTTCTTCTTTTACAATTATATACCTCGAAATATTTAGCTTAAATAACGTCTTTAGGTAAGTTTGTTTGATCTGCGTTTTTGTCTTCTTCGGTATCATTCTTATAATTTAAATCGGTCTGACTATTTTTTAAATTCTCTGAGATATCTTCTACTTGATGTATTGTAGAACTACTAGTGCTGTCATTTTCTTTAGTAGATTGTTGTATATCTGTTTTGGATACAGATGACATTTCCGTTTTCTGAATTCCTTCTTTCTGATTTTGTTCCATTACTCCATCTTTCGGGTTATCTTCTAAAGAGATCTGTGATATTCTTGGTATATCTGCAAAAGTCTTAAGAAAATGTCTCCTAAAATTTTCCTCAGGATCTTCTATATAATCGGCTTTTACTAAATCTTTTTCCTTTTTCTTCGTGGTAAATTCCTCATTATCCTCACTTAAATCAGAATTAAGTTCTGAATCAAATGAATCTGTGCTTATTGGGCTCGTAAGGCATATATTCCCAGAAATACCTGACTTGTTTGGCCCTATAAATTCCGTTTCTTTGTTAGGGCAAGCTTTATAGATATGAGAATTTTCTTGAATTTTATTTTCCTCCACTGATTGAGTTGATTCAGTCTTTTGAACATTTAGAGAAATGGAATCTGGTTTTATTTCATTCTTTTTTCCTTTGTTTGTTACAGTTTCGGCCACATCATTTTCTTCTTTCTCTGGCAAGGTATATGTTTGTTTGTTGAGGTATAATTCTTTAGAACTGTGTGGCATGGGATCTTCCTCAGTTTCTGATTCTTCTAGCCTTGATGTATCTTTCTGATTTCTTTCTTTTTTATTACCGGGCTGTGAATTTGTTTCCGAAGCTTCGTCGTCCTTCATTATACAAAATTTCAAGCATTGTATGTTCCTTTTTCTTAACCAAATTTAAAATGATTTCAAAGCTTGCTTTTCCAGTTTTATATTATTATTTAACAAATGGTTCCTGTAATCTTGTTTAATAGTAAGACCTATCTCTTAATTTTGATAAATATAGATCTTCTCACTTGTGCTTACACTGAGTTATTTATCTTGATTATTTAGCCCTATCGTTTTTTGCACTGAATTGGTTATTTCTTTGGACTTTCGACACCATAGTTATATTTTCATTTATTGATTTTGTTTTATTTATAGCCAACTTGGCAGTCAGACATTTTAAATGACAAAAAGCTGCAATTGATGCAAGCCATAAAAAAGCGGAAAAATGGAAAAAAGCTCATAAAATTGCATCGCAGAAGGAAAACTGAAACCTATGGTAGAAAAAGCTATGGTCCATTGACGTCAGCAGGCGAGAAATCCCGTGGAAATGCAATGTTCAGAAATAGATAAAGCCAGAAATGTGAAATCAACCCCCTTTCCAATTGCTACTGCCAACTTTTTGCCGGTGGGCGGGGCAGCAACCCTTTTTTTGCGAGTGGGCGACGTCGACACTCCATTAATTGAAGCCCCTGGATTACGGGAAATGGCATTGTCTTTCAGCCCGAGACGCCCCGCTGCGAAAGTGCCGAACAAATCTTTATAATCCACGATAATTTCGTTAATGGCTTTAATCACTTACTCGCAGGCATGAAAGGATTAGGCCAAAAGAGAGCGGGCATAATTTAAATAACATTTAATTTTATGCAACGCAGAGCAGGGAAATTTTCGAAATGGCGGCCATTGCGATACAGGCTCCTCCTTTTGCTCCGGTGTCCTTGTGTGCAAAAGGTCACATACACATTGTATATAGACTCCCACTTCTATTTACCTAAACGCCAACAGAAGCATGTATCTGTATCCGTATACACCCAATTAGGCGGCAACAATTGTTGCCACTTGCGTGGGGGAAACTCAACACTCTGGTTGGACTGAAACTCAACACGAAAGTTTTCCGAGGGGGCGAAAGCTTCGTCCTGTTTTGGCGGCAGCTATAAAAACCCCGGCCCAGTCACTGGCGCCACACACAAACCACAATCGACGCCCAGGAATCGGACGTGAGAAGGGAGCGAAGAGTTCCCGGAAAAACAGGAAAACAGAAGGAAAACTGAAGGGGAATCCGAATCCCCCTGCCACAACAAGGACATGCCTTGGCAAGGACCTCGTTCGCTGTGGCTGCAATGCCGTCGGAACTGGCTGAGATGTGGACATGGAAGTGGAAGTGGAAGCGGGAGCCCTAGAATCCAGCTCTTAGTTGCTTGGAGTCGATATCAACGGATTCCTTAGATCTGGATTCCTCAAAAGCTTTGGAAGTAGTCCTTATCGCTACTCCCTGCTATTATATCTCTCAATGAACCTAAAGAATATCATAGCAACATCATATCAATCCATATCGATTTAGAACCTATAATTAGACAATTGTTTTTACTGTGCTATTGTTTTGTATTTTTATTGGAAAACAAATGTGATCTTAAGTAAATAAAATAAATTACTTATAATTAAAGCAAGACCTTGGATATTAGTATTATTTAATACATCAAAACTAAATTCTTTTATTAATAAAAGAAGTGATTTATGGGGCGAATTGAAAATTTTATTCATAAATTTTATAATGCGACAAAAAAACGCAAAAAAGAAATATGGTTTTTTGTCATAAAGCTTCATGGATTATTTTCAATATGAAAAAGCAAAGAAGATTATATTTTTAGAAAACAGTAATAAAACCAGCAAAGAGCAAACAATCGATGCGATTGAACCGCCTACAAAGGCGACCATCAAGTTGGTCTATTTCGTCCCCCATCCCGGATGCTGAAAAGTTATCAGAAAACTTTTGTGAACTGTGGTGGGCGGTGCTAAAAATTTGCATATGTCAACACGAAAGAGCAGCAACAATTGCCCTGAAACACAATTTATTTGCCGAAGGACGGAAACGCATTGAAGCACAAGAGATACATTTGCCCGATGAGCAAAATTGAAATGTTAATTACACGGGGTTGTTCCCCGAATCGAAACCGCTTGGCAAACAGTTTAAAAAACAGTCGAGAGCGATGTTTAGACACTGGCTAAGCAAACAAGTCGGCTGGTTCGTGATTTGTTTGCTTAGCTCTTAATCAGACCGAGTTCTGAGCACTTTTCATCGCAAGCCAGCGGCAGTGAAAGTTTAATATGGGGCATCGATAACCCCGGGTGGCAATATCTGAAGCTAAAGCTAAACGCTGGCAAACAGTCGAGGGATGTTCTCGTTCTGGCGTATCCCTGCTATCCTTGACCCCATCCACGAAAATCCTCCTGCTTGACGTTGATGAGGTGTGAATGCCACCGCAGACTCGGCCGTTGTTTTATGCCTTCATCATGGCGAATCCTGCTGTTGTGGCATCCACTTGAGGTTAATTGAATTTCATTGCGTCCTTGCTAAATGGAAAACGTTTTTTCCCATTTAAGCTGGTTAGTCGAAATGTAGAGCGGTATTATTAATTGAATTTGATGATAAGTGAAAAGTTTTCAGGCTAGCTAATTTTATCTGGTTTACAGCATTTGCTTTAATGTTGGCTTGAAAAGGTTTTGTTTTTCTCGACCACGATTTTTGTTTAATTTTCTTAGACTAAAAATAAAAATACTGATGCAATTTCATATTTAACTGATATCTTAAAGTTTTGCTTTCTATTAGTTTATAATTTTATTTCTGAGTATTAATTCATAGTTTTCATTTAATAGAGCTTTAAATATAATACACCAAACATTTTTAATATGCATAGATATAAATATTTTGTAAATGCTTAAAAAAATAAAAGATAAATAAATCAAATACTTATTTTTCCATCATTTTTTACTCATGAAAATTAAAATCATATCTCAGATTGAACAAAAATCTTTGCTGAATAAAGAGGAAAATCCTTGAGTAGCAAATTTCTTTTATTGTTTGACAACTTCCCATATCGAGTTTCTCAACTTTGGCGACACATTAAAAGGATTTCGCCCGGCACGTGCCTCAGCACACTTAAGATGGGTGACGAAAAATAAAAAACGAAAGTGGAAACTTGAGAAAAAGCGCGGAATTAGCATTTGTTTTCAAGGAGCGTGTTTATTTGGCTATTTATTCAATTTTAATTTCAATTCTTTCAGCGCTGCTCGCCCTTAGAACAATCAGTCACGGGTGCAGAAGAAATAGATTCGATTACATTTAATTGAATTTTTTCAGCGCTCTGTTTGCGCAAGGAAAGCCAAAAACAGAATTGAATGTATTATATTACCAATAAAGCGGGGAAAAGAAAAAATAATAAAAATGCGCGACGCAATTGGCAATACAAAAAAGTGGGAGAAGAAAAGTCGGAAAACGTGATGCGGCAAATATATTCAAAAATTTCGATTTTTGTGTGACAAACTTAAGGGGAAAATCTAGCTGAGCTTGTTAGGTTAAGAAAACTCATAAATTATTTATGTTGCAATAAATAAGCCGCAAGCACAGAAATTACCTGTTGATGAGCCCACAACTCGCTAGTTTAACCCTCAATTACCAGGACTCGGGGGTGAAATTAAACCACATGAGAGGGGTGCTTTCCTTTTTGCTCCCCGGGGGCGGTATTAAAATTTGATCAACTTGTCGGCATTAAGAAACACTTGGCACGTTAAATCAATTTGCCATTTTATAAATCTTCATTTCGCACCTGAGACGTGATCCTGGCGAGCAGCCACAGGTGGTCCTGCCAAAGGAATGAAAAGGAGCTTTGGACTAAGCCACCGGCTGAAACGTGACGCCAGCCGGCAGCCAAGGATTTGCACTTTCATTTCTATTTATTTTTTGGCAAGCATTTTATTTGCAAACACATTTCAATTAGCTAAAATGCCCTGTTTCACACCATTTGCCTGATTGTTTCGTTTTGTCCGAAAATGTGTGTGTGGTTGTGTGATTTTGGGGTTCATTGCCCATTTGGTGGCATTTTTAATTTCTGTAATGCCTTTTGTGATCTCTGTGAAATGGTCCTAAGTGCACTCGAGTTGCGCATTATTGTTACATTTATTGCCGACGACAGTGAGCTTTTAAGAAAATTATACAATTGCATTATGACGCCGCACTGACCACTTCGAAGTCTCTCTTGCTATTATTTCTTTCTATCTCTAACGATAAAGTTTAAAATTATCAAGGCATTGGAGGACCAGAGGAGGTCCTTTTGGTCCTTTGGGCCCCGCCACGCCACGCTACGGCAAGCCAAAAAGCGCAATCGGCGGAAAGGGAGTTGTGTATTACAAATCGCTCGACGGGCGGCCCACGAAGGACGACTGTCAATGCCTTCGCCTTTTTTACAGTCGGTGGGTGGCATAATTTATGGCCGCCCATCGCTTCCCGTTCTCCGATTCCAGTTTCCCGCTTCTCCACTGCGGTTATTAAAATGCTCAATGCTCTTACCCATACCAGAATTCAGGTCTGCACTCCGGTTTTCAGGCACGGACTCCAGGACTCTCCATTTCGCATTGTCGTCAGACAACTGCAAAAAAGTGTAGCACACTCGCCGGCGCCGTCTAATGGCAGTTGAAGGACCAAGTACAGTGGAATAAATACCTCTTTTTGTAAGTAAAAACAATAGTAATTTTAATTTTCGTAATAAAGGAATTTCTGAGTAAAGCTACATGCAATTAACTTACTTAAAGCGAATTAAAAAGGTTTAATTATCAAATAAATGTTCATAGAAATTTTGAATATTAAAAAAAGATTGTTTTAAAACATTTGTTCTTACTTCAGAAAATTGTATATAACTCATTTCCATAAATAAATATATATATTTTAAATTTATGGAATTCTCTTTGAAATATTTTATTTGGGTATTTTTCAAGCACTACATTTTATAGTACCAACTTAAAAATATTTTTTAAGTACAAGCACAATGTTTTAAATACCCATCAAGTTATTTGAATTTCTTCTAATAAATATAACTTTTGTTTTTCTACTTTTAGATAATCACAAATTTTAGCCCAAAATTTAGTAAACTTCACCCACTGCCTAAGCTTCCCATTCGCCTGATAATCAATAAAATGTTTTGGCATTTACTTTCATTGTTTGCTGCTGAAGCTGATGCTGATGCTGCTGCCGTTGCAACGCCCCTTCTGCCACGCCCACGCACAAGGACTATATTTGCATATATTTGGAGTGGCAACTGGCAAGGCATATTGCGGGTTTTATATCCTGCCGTTCGCCGTGCTCAAGTCTTTTGCAACCGGGGCGTGCCTCGTGAATTGTTTCACTGTCGTCGTTCATTTGGGTTGATGTCCCAAAGACTGAGGACACAACATGAAAGTCGCTTAATCTACTTAAATGTCTTTGAGTTTGTGAATCGCCCCCACTATAGAATCTTACACAGAAGAAAAGTTGATCAATTTAAAATTAATTCTTAGCAAATTCAAAATAATATTGTTATTAGTGATATTAATAATCATCTAAAATAATATTGTAAAAAAATATTGTAAAAATAGTAAGTAGTAATAATAAGATAACTTATAAAGATCGTATATAAAGACACATTTAAATAATTATTTCTTGGAGCTGTTATATTTTTACAATTACAGGAAAATACGCTTTTTATTTTGGAATTGGAAATTATTCCATTTAAAGACAGGCAACTTTAAAAACTTTATATATTTTGCTGCTTTGGGTTTCAAGCGACTTTAAATATTTTAAAGTTTAAGTAGGTAAGGTAATTTTTTTATTGGTCTTGTTAATTATATACCTTTTAATTGAATCCATAATTTATTTTTTCTCTGTGCTCGTGTCTCTGCGAATTAAGACAGCATTGCATCCCCTTTTACGACGGCGTTATTAACATGGATTTATGGCGTATCGTTGGGCGACTTAGGGCCGCTATTAGCGCACTAAGATGTAAACAAGTTGAGGCCGAAGGAAAGTTTCCAAGGAGCAGAACGACTCACATGTCAATCACTCCGACTGCAAGGTAACAAAGCAGAAAAACGCAAATTTCAACTAAGAAAATGGCGGGGCGAAGCTGAAAAGGTAGCATCGGATAATTTCAATTAAAAATGCCTTTGAAAAGGCATTCGGTGGCTGACTGACTGGCTGGCTGGGCAACCATGACAAAGCCTCCTCATTGATGTCCTTGTCGCCGTCGTCAACTGCCGTATCAGCAGTTTTAAATCAGGGGAGATTCAGCGATGGAGTGATGCTATATGGGGTGGTGGACTGCAGCTTAATTGAGTTTCGCTTTGACGGCAACCGCATAAAAGGCAGCAACTTTTAAGTATTCGCATTCACAGCAATTAAAGCCCTGCTCCGGCCATGTCCTTTTGCCAGGGAGATTTGGACTTAGGCAGAGGAAATTTAATATTTTTCTAATGATGCCAAAAACACATTGTGCGGTTTCTTCACACAGATGACCAAAAAGGTATAGTGGACTGAAAGCGAGGGTAGAGTAACTTTAATTTTACCTTGAATGTCTCCTGAAAAGAAAAGTTTTAACAAGGTTTTTGATAACTTGTCTTTAAAAATAAAAAATAAATATCG